TCTTTAATAACCGGTTACATGTCGTTCTGTTATCGAAAATCAAAGGATTAAAAAATATTCATATGTAACATCTCTTTAAATTTTCGAGAAGCAGTATGAAAAGAATGTGAGATTATATTTCGAACGAAAAATTTTATATATGCGCATCAGCAAGTGCGTATTTAATTGAAGCGAGTTTTTTTTAATGAAAAAATATTTACAACTTTCAACTGCATCCAGAAAGTTCGAAATAATGTATTCCGCATAGAACATCCCTCATGAATATTCATTTAATTAAGTGAAGGACCCTCTGATTGTTTTGATAGTGTGTCTGTGTGTTTGTGTATAAATTGAAAAACAAAACGATCCTTCGTTCCAACTACCTATATCTTTGTATTTCTTGTTTTTTTGCTGTTCACCTAAAATCTCTAGTTAATTTGATCAATTTATTAATTGATGCATAATCGGTAATTGTCGATTGCACGCAGGGTTTGTTAATTTATTAATTAATTCCCGTGTCCGCGGAATTGGAGTTCGGACAAAATAGGTGGTCCGATTTCCCATTCTACGAAATACTCTGAAATCGCTCCAATAATTAAATTGTTCTCAAACACGGTACCAGACTAATTCAACTTTAACACTCGATAGAGAACAAATATCGTCGAAACTATTTTATCATTAATTTAATTATGCTCAGTTTGTTGTTTGCAAAAGCATTAAAATACAAGAATTGTATGCAAAGCTCTTTAATTTTGAAAATACAAAGCGCATACAAAAAAAAATATGTGCATATGACAATTCATACTTGACTTTTATTATTTCACAATATAAGTGCATATTTATTTTCGAAATAGATCGAAGAGATATATATCATCCACTATCTAATAACAATGCTACCATGTTGCTTAACCACAAAACGAGGGTCCTGGACTACAGCCCTTAAAAACCATGCCCAAATCATTTAGGACCATATAATTACATTAACGCCAAAAAAATTGTAAAGGCTCTGATTTCTACAAATGTTGCAGCATTTCGTCTATTTAATTATTAATGTAGATTCAAAATATTTCTAAAATTCTATACTTAATCTATAGATTGAATATTTTCAGTGAGAAAGTAAATAATAATTTTATTCTTTTGCTAAATATAATAAATAGAAAGTAGAGTATGTTTTTTCCCAACAGTTAAAGTTCAAGCTTCTATAATTATTGATTTTTTCGATTGATAGAATTAATATAAATAATAGAAAATATCGAGGATTGAATAAATGATGAAAGCCCGGACAGAAAATATTTCGCTTTCTACATACAAGCACAGTCGCAATTTGCATCCTGCGTTTTTTTATATATTTTTTGTTACACTCGCCTCTGTTAAAACAAAAATATTAAAATTTCGAGCAAAGGATATTCCAACACAGTTGTTTTAATGTTTGCTGTTACTTTTTATTCGTGAATACATAAAACTCCCCAATTGCAATAAAAATCATGTGTGGATACGGCTACACAAAAATAGCAAGAGCATTTTAAACAAGCAATAAACGTTAAACACTTCAATCAGCGCTCTTCAAATTTCTGTACCGTACATATTTTTTTTAATCTTCAACCTATACTCAATTATAAATGGTAGTGATTATATCTATTAGTGAATTGCGCCAGACTGAAAGTGCTCATATTTTTCATTAAAAGCGTAATAAAAATTCTCTGAAACGTAATATTTCAGTGAAAAAGGAATGTTTGTATCAATTTACTAAAATTATCAATTCGATAATAAAAAAAATATCATATTAAAGTAAACGTTTTCATTAGAAAACTTTGATTAACATAGTGGTTAAAGTTCACGTCTTTGACATAAATATATTACTTTATAGTCATTAATTAGAGTATACAATTATTTACGTGTTAATATTTTAATAATTATTAATCAGTTTCTGATTTTTAAAATAGAGGCAAAGAGGCGGCACCGTAAGTGGGATAAGTCGAAACATCAATATACAATCGAATGTTTTTTTAACCCTTTGCGGACGGATAAATTTGAGTAGCGCCTCTACAAGGCTTACGTTAAACCTTAATCAAAAACATGATACTCCGTCTGAAACAGACTACTGAGTAGACTATAAAAAATTAGGCGGATATACCTGCCACTCTTTTGAAAAGTAATAAGTATTTAAAAATTGAAGCAAGACGTCAATGTTATTTTTCCAAGGAGGCGTAACAAAAAGTTAGGAATCCTCTGTTATGAAGAAAAAACATTTCGAAGACTTGCATCAAAGTGGGAAAAACTGAAAGTTAACAAAGGGAAATTATCAAACACCACTTATATAAATGCAATAATTCAAACATTTAATATTTGCTTTTTAATTTTTTTTTTTTTGGTTTACGTTGATTAATTGTGGGTATTTATGAAAACGTGCAAATTACAAGCATAAAACACGTTTCCGCATGAAATTCTTCGATAATTGAAACGAATTGTGTCGTTTCGAACATTTCGTTCACCATTTCCAATTTACACAATAGACGCTGTGCGAGTTTTGAACCAACAATTTATTAAACCAATTTCTTAATGTGAATGGTAGTAATGTTCTTTCTTCTGTTTTACCAATAATTACTAGTTAAACATATGTTTTATGTTATTTTTATAGTAAATTATAATTGCAAATCTATATTATTCCTATGATGGATGGACGAACTTCAGTAGTTAACTTAACTTATATTTCTTTATGACCGGTAGTCATCTTACTCTTCCAATGTATAAAAATCTCGACAGTCTATGTAAGAGAATCTTACGAAATATATACAGATTTTATGAGGTCAGCTTCCCCATAAAAGTGACTTTATTACTTTTAATATTTAAAAACTTTACATTTCGATATACGCCGTAATTGTAATATGTTTGATAACTTTACGTTCGCAATGATTAACATAGCAATATAAAAAGTAATGTATTTATAAATATAAATATTGTACATATTTATAGTTAGTATCTGTAAATAATTGTAGATAATTACATAATATTATAATCAATTAAAGAGATAAAATATCTAATATCGGACGAACGGCGGATATATCGCCTCTATACTACAATGAAAATACTCTACAACATAATAACCGCAAAAACAGTTGACCTTGAACATCTTTCATAAGCAAAGGGTTAATATAAATTGCAATTGATTATAATAATGTAATTAGAACTACGCTGGATTCTATTTTTTTGTATGCTTTATTTTAGTTAATTTCATATAAGTAGAGATCTCAATAAAAATCAATTTGATCCGTTCTTATGGTATCGATAAAGCACAGTTTGGTAGAATCCTCTCTAACCGTTAAAGCGTAGTAATGGCTAAAAATACCTCTGGTTTTATTAGAATGAATCCACCGGTCGCGATTTGCAACGATCCTTGTGTAATCCTCGCGTCTATCCCAAAAAAAAGAAATCATTGGATTTATTTGGTGAATTATTTCCAGGGTAAAGCTTCACACAAATGAAAACGGAAAATCTTGTTGCATCAAATTAATATACAACGAAAACTGCAATGGACAATACGAACTCTGTAAATAAGGATGAGATATAATAAAAGACTTAAAACTATGCTACATTCAGCTCTACATATATAGATAGAATTGCAATGTTATTTATTCGTCGATTGGGAAAACGTTTTATGACCTGAGTATGCAATACAATATAAGAATATTTATAGATGCCGGATCGGCGTAAAGCTGCTGCATTTTTTACTATAGCTATACTTTTATTTCGGAGATGCGCTTTCATGTCTTTCATTTCTTAAGGTCGAATAAGCGTTTCTCACTTCGTTTATTTCAATATTCAAACTTTCATTCAACTTTTTTACATATTGCTTAATCAACTGAAGTAGGCAGACCAGGAAAATATGTGTTTCACATGTTAAGACAATTCACTATAATATACCTTAACTGTTTTTTTTACATTTATTTGCAATTTTCGTAGTTCATATCCACACGAACGTACATTGTTGTATTGTGTATTCAGAGGATCGGTTGCAAACAACGTGTGTACGTTCAAGCGAACAAAGAGATACTCGTTAAAAATGAAACCTGAATACAAAATGAACAACTTTATGAGCATCTATTACTTTATGTTGTAAGTTAATATAAAATTTATTATTCACGTAGTCCATAATTGTATCAGAAACTTTTATGAAAATGAGATTTGGATTGACCTGCTAGTATTTTCTAATGCACTTTTCAGTAGAACAAAAAAGTCGCGACAAGAGGTACTTATTTTATTGTACAGTATATTTTGGGTCAAAGTTTATAGCAAAGATTTCTTGAAATATTATCAATATTAGAATTAGAAGAACTACGGGAAGAATCAGTAATTCTGATCTCCAGTATGCACCACACTAATACTGTGAATGAAAATACAAAGAAAAACGTTTATTTCATCGTACATTAAATATCGCTGGTGTCAAGAGTAGAGTTCTATATGAATCTTCACCATTAGGAGGATTCATATATTACTAATCTATTTTTTTAATATTTAATAATCGAGTCATAGATAGTACTTCTGTATTATTTATTTTTCCGAAGTAGATTCTGGTTAAACTAATAATCGATTAATTTCTGTAGTTCATATTGCAATAGTACAAAAACTAATATTACCACATCTAGATTGGATCAATGTACGTGATCGTTATAATTATTTATAATCCAATTGGAAATTGGAATTTGTAGTGAGCATTTGAAGTGCATAATTCTTTAGATAGACTCAACTGTTAATTATGGAATAACTAGATTAATATTTGCAGGCCGGAAACATCAACAACATTTTGTGTATGTACATCACAAATTTTACTTTAATATTGAAATATGTCTACATTAAAAACTACTTTATTTCTAATTAAGTAAACTTTAAATAAATATTTACCACATTGTTGAAAAATCCTCTTCTCGAATCATCCTGATGGATATATTTTATTGAAAGAAAGAAAAAACGTTTGATTATATTGATTATATTTCCATGAATATCATTTTATTAAATAATAGAAAGACAGATGAGAAATCAAGTCCCATTACAATCAATATACAATAATATATAATAAAACGGGGGGAATCTGGAATGACAATTTCCTCTCCGATTGCCGAGGCCCTGTGAATCTTTGGCAATTAACATTAATTCCTTCCTCATCTTTACAATTCTATATATATACATATATAATACATCGATCCATATGACCTTAGTCTTGTTTTTTTTTCTTAGTTTTGAAAAAATAAAATCACATTTATATAAGTGTTAAATCTCGCAATCGTTGATCTTCAATTGCCAAATTATGTTAAAAAGAGAGCGAGAAGTAGTAGGACCATGAACGCGTTTCCACGAGGACTGCTGCAGTACATCGACTTGGAGCCGGTATTCGCGTGTTGCATGGCCGCAGGTTTCTCCTCTGGAATATAATCAAAGGGAAAATTGCAAAAGGTTATTTCATTCATGTTTTCTTTCCTCTTTGCTCTCTACGACTTACCAGCCGTTGCATTCAAAACGTGGACATTGATCGAGGCCGGAATCGCGTTCGAAGGGCAGCAAGTGTAATTTCCGTTGTGACTTTTATCGGCGTCTGGTAGCAGTAGGATGCTAGAAGATCTATCCGCAATTACATGGACTCCCGGGTCGTAGTTAATCATTCTTTGCTCGTGATACCAGAAGACGTAAGATGGGGGTTCCGTGGATTGCCTCATGGTGCAGACCAAACGCAAGGATGAACCGGAACGAACGTGCAAATCGGGTGCGCCAAGTACTTCGGCCGATGCCTCTGGATGATGGAACAAAGAAACGACGAGATTAATTACATCGGAGAAAAACTTTTGAGGATGTTAAAAAGCAATTCTTCAGATTTAAAGCTTTTCATTACTTTCAAGGTAATCGCTCACTTTTTGATCTGTCTTTGAAATTAATATTAATACCATACCCAATAGAATATTTAAGAAAAAAACAAGATGTTGTAAGAAAATGATTTTTTTTTATTGAGTTACTTTGAAACCATTTGTCTTTGAGTTATGTCGCGTTTAGTATGGTTTTGAAACTCTGTTAGTAATCTTTTTGTTTCTGGTCCATGCTCAACAGTTAAAGATATTAAAAAGTACATAACATATTTGAATGCAGAAATTTTCAGAAACTTTTCATCTCTGTTTTTCAGATATGAAATCGATACGTTTGTTAGAAGAATTGATACTAGATATGAGAAGTGTTTCATCAAAAGATATATCATTGTCTTCCCTGTTTCCTACTAACTTTGGCAAACGTTCTCCATTTCGATTGGTGGGATTTTTTGGGAATAATTCACAATGAATTACTAAAACTTGGTCAGACTATTACAGAAGAGGTGTTGTATTCCCAATTAGTAAGATTAAAAGCAGAACTGCTTAGAAACGATCAGTTTAGTATTTTAGAATTCTAAAGCATGATTATGCAAGACCACATGCAACAACGTTTACGCGGGCCAAAATATTTGTACTTAATTTATTACTTTTTTAAGTCGATAGAACATTCGCTTTATGAAAACAAAAATAAAATATTTAACAAGTCCTAAATCACCTGGATCCATATGTTAATGAAAAGTCGCCAAAATTTTGGGAAAGAGATATTAAAAACTGCCTATTCTGTGAAGGAAAATCGTATATTATAAACAAAATAATATTTACAGTTTTTGTTGAACATTGCGCATTAAAAATATATATTATTTTCTTTTATGTCGTGTAATGTTATTCACAATCTGAACATTTAGTAAATTTAAGATCGCGGTTGACATTAAATGGATAATCTTTCCCGGTGGATAGTTACCATTATGATGATTTGATTTTTTAATTTGTTGGTTGGTAGTATATTGATGCTCTGCGATTCCACTATTTCCCTTCACTGTGAATATGCTGCTATCCTTAACACTGTCATTGTCCATCGACTTGACTTAAAAGGTCCATATGCTGAACCTCATTCATTTCACTGTCCATCTGTGATGAACGATGGCCCTATTGATGCAAGGGCTCACAAAGGGCCTGGCTTGACCAGGATTTGAACCTGCGCCCACTAGCTCGTGGGTAGTGCGACTTAACCATGCGTCTATTAGTTGCCCCATTAAAAATATATATTAATTGATTTACCAATTATTATGTACAAAACCAATTGTTTCAAATATTCATCAAAATAATAGAGGTATAGCTTACAATATACGCCAATTAAATTAGAAATCAATTATTTACTAAATATTGTTTAATACATTTATCCGTATAAACATATATTGTATATTTCATATTTTGACATGACAACTTTTTAAACAAAAATATAGGGAGACAATGAATTATTTATATATTAAATACTCAACTGTAATTTAAATGTAAAGCGAAAATTGTACATTGCATTCCGTGCAATATTTAAAAAAAAATACTGACTTATTTACAATGTTAATTACAGTACATAATAACGACAGTGTTCTGCAATTTTTATTTAATTTCCTTTTTTTATAAAAGATGTTTCTGCATAACTCTTGTGAATCACATCCATTAATTTTTGTATCCAATATTTTTTCGTTCTTATTAATTTCGCCGTTCCGAAGCAAAAACTGATAAATATCGTGATGAAAGAATTGAAGAAGATTAAATGCTTTGTGTAGCGCGTCCAAATGGACCGCTAACACTGCAGCAATTAAACGGGGAAAACGTTCGTTTGTTCGTTTTCCTATACCACAATGTTTTTCTTTTTCTCTCTTTCTGCTATTCTTTTTATGTCTCACATACGCCAATAATGAAATTAATTTTCGGGTCCGCTTTAATTGAGGAGCAAATATGGCTTTTGGGGCGAGGCTTACACAGCCATAGCGAGTGAGCAACATTTTTATTTCATCCTTTGGTAAAATGAAGGAACGAACGACAAGAAACATAAATCCCAGTTTTACAGCAGATTTTTACACTCCTTTATCATACTTACATGTTTTTATTGCACTGCAGAAATCATCATCATCAAGGATTAATTTTATAGACGCAAGGAAACGAATGATGGAAAACATATAAAAAAAACAGTATTTTTTTTATAATTAGCTTTGACCCTGACTGAACAAATCCGCATTTTATACCTGCGTTTAAATGAATACTTATCATTAGCTTTCATTAAAAATACATGTTATAGTCTTCGCAGAGTTAACAATATAGTTTTCTGAATAAAGTGGTCAATATTAATTTTGATTATGATACTAAATATTATAGTGTTTAATACAAAAAGTGGTTTTAACAACAAGGGTTTTCATAGTTTTTAGAAGTTGACATATTATTTTTTTAAATATCTCATTTTTACTCTGCAATTGAATGATTCTTTAGTATAATACATCACTTATCAAAAATGAAATTTAGTAATCTTGCCAATATATATAACTTCTGTAACACACAAACAATAATTTAAACGTTTTAGTCAAGTAATAATTGTATAAATTTTAATATTTATAAATTTATATATAAACAATTAAGACTATTTAATTCTAATGTTTAATGTATTATGTTATTTCGATTAATTAACGAATTATAATGCTATCATATGAAATTATCAGTTAAAAATAATTAAACACAAAATTGGTTATTTAAACGACACATAACACTGCACTAACTTTATATTAAAATCTCGACTTCCTCTGATCCTTCGGCTTCGTAAATTTAGCTATTGCGACAGTGCTTATACAGTTTCCAAAATCTTGTTTATAATTTACAAGAAACTTTCATTAATTGCATTATTTCAGTCGCTATGCTTCTCAACAAATTAACGTTTAAAGTTATAATGTTAACAATTTATCTTATATGTATTAATCAACAAATTTTGATCATATTATTTCTTTTGTAATAATATTTGATTGAATTTATTAGTTTATATTATATTTAAATAATTATTTATTTATTTTCTTAATTGTTTATGCGTATATTTTAAAATCCCATTCAGAAATGTACAGAGAGAAAGTTGACAATGAGATAAAAGCATTTTGCATAATGGAGCTCTTTTAACAGAGGAATAATGAAAGTTATATAAAACAAACAACAAAACAATAAAACAAAAGGAACACTAGATAGGAAAATGTTGGAGAAATCTTTACCTGTGACTTTGAGTTCGACGATGATGCTGGTAGCCGGATGAATGGATACTTGGCATTCGTAGATCCCAGCATCGGAGAACTGAACGTGCTTAATCAGTAGACCCCAATTTTGTAAATGCCTGACGTGCTCCACCATAAATCTGTCATCCGTGTTGTACGTTGTCAAACCAACGGTCAGCAGGTGATAGTCACGTTTCCTGATCCACGACACCTGTAAAAATACCGATTTTTAAGTTTATTTCCAACAGTTATAACAAATATTTGTTTTCTACTTGAAATATTTTTAAATATTTAAAATTTATCATCTCATAATAACTAATCCATCAGCATCGTATATTATAATAACATTATATTAAATTAGTACTACATTACTATTATATTAGTACATCTGTGTTCAATTTCAACATTTTGATTACATTTTAATCAAATTGTAATTGAATTTCTCGAATCGACAAAAGCAAGACGATTGAAAGCCAGAAATTCGATACATAACTGAACAAACGAGGAAAATATTTTGCAGTAAAATACAACATCAGTTTAAAAAAAATCTCTGGGGGTCTGTGTGTTTCCAGGTAAATATCTTACTGGAAAATGATAAACGAGCATCGGCTCACATTGCGCGCAAGATTTTAAAAGTGTACCTTTCGCATCCACCAAATATACGTGTACGTGTGCATCATGCAATAATCACATTCTCCACATGATTTATGGTCCAAATTCCTCACAGATTCAACTAAAACTCGTATCACATTATCATCCTCATTTAAGTATGATGCATTAATAGAAATCATATGAAATAATTTTAATACTAATCAAAGTGAAATTTGAACTGCTTTAATAGCAATATCTTTTTATTATATGCACCATGATGAACTATATAATTTAAATGAAGTTACTAATAAATTTAATTATATAAGTTCGTACATATAAAAGTACATTTACAATGGGCAATTCATTTTTCCACCAATTATTTTAGTATAATATTATAAAGTTAAAAAAAAATTTAATCTTTATATATATATCAAGGGTGATCAGACTAAAGTTTTTGATATAAAAATTTAAAAATTCTTCATCACAATATCATTAACTCTTTGCTAGTTGAGAGTTTATGAATTTGTAATTCTTTTTAGTCACTTTCAAAAATTGACAGTACAAATTCACAATTCAAGAAAATCATTATTATATGAACTTCATATTTTATTACACATTATTTATCGAATGTACGAAATTTATAGTTATTATTACGTTGGCCACATCTTCATTATAGTACATTATTTCCAGCAACATAATCTTATAATAAATGTCTAAAAATACATTTGTATTGATAATTAATTTAATTCAGATTGTTGTATTATTTAGACATACGTTATTTATTAATATTATTGATGAATTTTTTATTTTACTTTAATTTGTTTAATATTTTGCATAAACGTATAATTTGGACTAGAAATACTGTATATATTATTTTCGTCGTGATATCATTAAGCATTTCACATTTGTATGTATAATATATTATTCAATTATTGTCCCTTTTTCGAGTTCCACATATAAAATGTAAAGTATTTCTTTAAATACTTTTAAACTCAGCTGAATGGCAACATCACATAAATGGCCCAAAGAAACCTTAAGATGTGTAGAGGTAGTTACCATTTATATGTGACGGTGGCAGAAGGAATGAGCTTTTAAAGTTTTCTCAGGTATAAATCCGTGTTTGCGGGCGACCGCATGGGAGCTTTAACGTCAAGAACTAAGTACGTGTTTGTATTAATAGACTCACCACGCCGGTGTTGAACTTCCTCACGACACAAGGCAATATCGCAGTACCTCCAAGCTGAGCCATGACAACGGTGCAGTTTTCGGTGGCGAAGACGCTAACACCAGCCCCATCCCTGCCTCCTCCACCCAATTTGCCGCCACCTGGACCACGTTTTACATTCACATCCTTACCCCGATGCTTGGTCTCATAGCTCCTTCGTACTCTTCCTATACCATCGCCATCTGCAATCATATAAGAACATCATTCTTCGCGTGCAGAATCTTCGTTTTACTGGTGTTAATATGAGGAGTTCGCCTTCAGAACGGAAAACTCGTGCTCCTGCGATGAAAAATGACCGGAATTTTTGAGGCTCTCTGTATGCCGTATATGAAATATCATCACCATCACTTCTCAAAATCTTTTATGAAATTACGCTGTGCACGCTCATTTTATTTTCCGTCCTTTACAAATAACCTTTGTCTCGGAATAAGTTGGAAAGCGAAATTGTAAACGCGAGCTAACATTGTTTCCGCTGCTAGTCATATTGTCCTTATTACAAAAAATAAACAGTAATTGAGTGCACTCTACTATTGAATTTGTTTTAAAAATATGCATCAATTTTCTATATTTAAAGGCAGAAATTAACTTAAAGAAATAAAGACATAGAAATAAAATGAAAAAAAATAAATTTTAGAGTTTGCAGTGAGATTGATTATAATGAAGTAATGATATTGTTTCATGACTTATACGATCAAATTATCTCTTCTGATGACTATATATATTAATAATTTATTCACTTAACCTCAAACTGTGTTTCCATTAAACTTTTAGTTATCGAGAGTTAAATTTTCATTTTTTTAAACTTTGAACGCAAATTACAACGAATACTACCTAATCATTCAACTTTCATATGAATCTATTCAATCTATTATAGTTTCTAATGGACTCCTAAAATGTTAAAACACTGCTTTTTCGAGCGTAAATTTTTCATTTTATAACTTTGAACGCGAATAACAGCCATGTATGAATACACGATACAATCCTCAACCATCCAGTTTTCATATGCATCGTTTATTTTCCGAGAAAAGCACTATAATGTGAAAACACCAATTTTTCGAGCGTTAAATATGTGTGAGCAATTATTATTTGAAGAAATAATTTTATATGGTTGAACCTTAAATAATACAGCTCTGTCTATTGTGCATCAGTAATGATTTAGTAAATAAGATGTTTATTCTATTAAATGTATTATCTATAACTATTATAAATTGGAATGCAATTTATTTCATATGAATTCAGCTGCAGTAAATAACAGTGCGTCGTTTGAAAGTAAATGTGTGCCAATACTCGCCGTTAATTTATTTACATAATTCAGAATTTGTATATGCGTAACGCAGTTACACAATTCATAGATGCATTTAATAATTAATGAAATTGAATGATCAAAGTACAAAATATATGGAATTAATTTATTTCATTATAAAATTTAAATATTGTAATAGTCACGTAATAAACATTTCCATTCAATAATTGACCGGTATCTCATAACATTGTATTAAAGTTTTAAAAAAACAGAAACAAACAGGCAAATTTTGACGTATCCATTATTTAAAATGAATAGTTTTGAATTGTTATAATTCTGGAGGATGTTTAGAATAATATGTTCATTATCTAATATTTCAAGTTCTATACAATTATATATTTCAAAATAATATTAATAATATATGAATATGGCGCGAGTGCAATATCTATACACAGCAATTAAATAGATATTGCATTAACGTTGTTGAAAATGTTACAACATTAATGCAATATAATTATTACGTTGTGATGCAGTTCTGCTTCATTAAATGATAAATACATCCATTAATTACATAACTGCGTTTGGCAAAATTAAATTTTCAATTAATTTATTAATTTAACAACCAGATTTGACATAAATTCATTTTAAAAGGCCACAGCCAAACTGTTTAAATATTACAATTTCAAATAAGCACAACCAACTGCAATCAATTTCATAAACATATGCAGGTATCTCCCGACTTACGAACTAGTTCCGTTCTAAAGGGTTGTTCGTAAGTCGGGGGAATTAAAAAAAAAACATCAAAATATACTTATCCTACCACACTTTATCATGGTTATTTTCGATATGTTCAGCTGAGTAGCCATTTGTCTTCCACTGTGTCGCGGATTTCATTCAATTCGAGCCTTAAGTTTCCAAACCACTTTTACCACGTTATACAATGTTTTCCGACCATCAAAATAGTATTGTGTAAAATAACTAGATTCATTATATATTATGGATCGAAATATGAAAGATTTATTCACATTATAGTGTTCGAGGGCTCTAACAATAGTCACTTTTGGTTTTCCGCTCAAATATTGGGCTATCACACTATTACGTTTGAATTCCATCGCTGATGATGTTTTTTTCCAAAAAACTGAGATGCAAATGCTTTCGCAGGCTTGTAAACAATAAAATCAGTTATCATTAGGCGAAATATGGACACAACATTGCCAACGGTTCAAAAGTTATAGCAGTTTTAAGTTGGTTGCAGCCACCATGTACAGAACATTTATTGTTATTTTCAGATTATTATTTTTAGAAAAAGAAAACATATTCTTCTAATAATAATTCCATGTTTTTATTTATTACTAACCCATGTCTATTTTATATCCAGCTGATAACAAATGCAATAAGGTTACATCAAATTCGATATAAATTCAGTGGATCCGTGCGTTCCTCAGATGCGCGTATATATACATTCTATATATTTTTTATGTGTAAAAATGTGTCCCAACCGCCGAAGATAGGAAACTTCCCAAGGGGAATCTTGAAGCCCCGGCAAGCATCTTTTCAGCGGTGGATGCGGATCTCACCATACCTTTGAACACATACGTTATTTACGACGCGTTAGGAAATCAAACATGTCTCCAAAAAAAGTATCAATATGAAAATATGAGGAATTCTATACATTCGCGCTCTTCACATTTCAATAAATGACAACGACATGTATCAATCCAATAATCCATTTTCAAAGTGTGGAATCAGGTCAACTTTCCAAATAAATCATGAGACAAACGAGGTCGAATAAAAGATACAAGAAACATGTAAAATTACCAAATCTGCACACAATTTTGCAAAAGGCTTCTGATTATAAGCATTTAATTAAAATTTTATATATACTATATATTTTTTATAGAATTGTAACAAATAGATATATAAAGAAAGACAATAAAATCTTAACGTAACGTAAACGTTAATTCTATATACTTACTATTTTAAATCAATACACGCTATATCCAGAAATATCACTACTACAACAGCGTAATTACTTTATTTTTATATATCCTAATTCTCATGAGGTCAGGTCACCTCTTTTAGTATTCAAAATGAATAATGTATCGATTTACACGTAAAAACTCAGTGTAATACGATGACCGCATCATCTACTTTTATTCGGTTCACATAATAACGAGCTTTCTTTTTATTTTCACACTTTTTTCCCGAATCACAAATGTCGCAAATGGGCATCGCGTGTGGTTGGCGCAAATTACAAAAAAAAATATCTAATAATTGAAGTTTGTGAGTCAAAAATTTTCGGCATTTTATACGGCAATTTTCGAGTATGAATTTATCGCTTCTAATTAAGTAATCCCGATGTAATTGAAGGCAATTTTCGCGGATTTTGATCTCGCCTTCGGAGTGAAAATAACCGGGTAATAGTAGCGAATTTAGAAATAGTGAATAAATTATTAAGGGTTATTTTTCTTCTTGTTTCAGCAAAATTCATGTAATTAGTATTTCAGATTACAATTTCTATCGTTAATGGATGAACTTTGAGGAAGCAATTTTCAGTTTCTTATCGACGCCGCTGCTCGATCATTAATTATTTGAAGCCAGAAGATCAAAGTTTTATAAATTGTATCGATTGGAGAAAATGTTTGTGGCGAGGTATACTTGCCAATAGGGCGTCAGCTTATTGTCAAGGTTAGTTGTTTTAATTAATGGTAATAAAGTATTGCATGCAGCGTATATCATTAATATTGATTTTGTGATTTAATATTATTATTATGTATAGTTTTCCAGCATAATATAAATAATAAAGGTAATTTTATGACCGCTATTTATATTCGATGCAACGCACATTTCCCAACAGAAAACAGACAAAGAAATATATAAATTAAGAACTTCGGAAAACTTTGCGGTCTATTTTATTAAGTTTCGGGGAATAAAGTCTCCGACTTAATCTAATAAATATCCCAAAATACTAACAAATGATTTCATTATAGCAGAGAGCACGAGGCGGACCTTCGGAGGGAAAAAAATAAATATTTGCGTTCAAATTTATAGGGAGGCCTAGGGAAGTAAATGTGGGCCATTTGTTTGTATCTTACGTGGGTCGCCTGGCCCTGGTAAAGAACAAGAATGAAGAAAAAAAGAGGAAAATGTTTCGAGGGTTGCGTTACGGCTGTACAATTTATATGTCCTGCTATACCCCAATTCTGCCAGGTCCTTTTATGTCATTCCGCCCATACTACAAAAGGGAAAAAAATAGAAAGAAAGGGATACAACGTAAAATGCACACACTTCTTATCGTTTAAAAAATAAATTATTAATTCTATTATATCAAGCTAATTTTTCCGAAGACAGAAGAAAAAACGAGAGTTGAAAATGCATTGACTTCAGGTTTCATTCAAGTGGATAGTGTAGACTGTGATACTGATACTGTACATGTGTTGATCAAGTACAACTAGGAAATCCAAATTTATCGTAATTTTTGTTTAATTTACCAAAAATGTTTTCAGTTGAAAATTTTTCACTTAATAAAAAAGCAAAACTTTATATTTTGATCGACGAAGTAATTTTGATTCTTCAGATTTTGGTCATAATTGGTAAAACATCATCATTTTTAACTTACTAGTCAAAATAAAATTATCGAAATTACCTGTATTTCTTATTAAAATTTACCTGTATTAACCACAAACTAGATCTATACAATTCAACATATAATCAAAAAAAAAATTTTATTTAATTATTTGTATTAATTAACTGTTGTCATCGTTCATATATTAATAAAGTGAAGGACAGTCAATGAGATTAATAAATGTATCTATTTATATGTAGTACTTATGACACAGAGGTCACTAGAAAAAGTGTCAGAACTATCTTTCAACAAGTAATTACTTAGTTGCAATAGTGTTCTCAAACTATTGTTGTATGAAATGTTGTTATATAATT